TCCTTTTCAGCCAGGCAGCTTCCCAGCCACTCTTCCCCAAGCCTGCAGCGCTGCATGGGGTTGTTGTGACCCAAGTGCAGGACCCGGCACTTGGCCTTGATGAATCTCCTACAGTTGGCCTCGGCCCATCGGTCCAGCCTGTCCAGGTCCCTCTGCAGGGCCATCCTACCCTCCAGCAGATCGACACTCCCACCCAGTTTGGTGCCATCTGCACACTTACTGAGGGCGCACTCAATCCCCTCATCCAGATCATTGATAAAGATATTAAACAGAATTGGCCTCAATACCGAGCCCTGGGGAACACCGCTCGTGACCAGCCACCAGCTGGATTTCACTCCATTCACCACCACTCTTTGGGCCCAGCCATCCAGCCAGTTTTTTACCCAGCGACGAGTACACCCGTCCAAGCCATGAGCAGCCAGTTTCTCCAAGAGAATGCTGTGGGAAACGGTGCCAAAGGCTTTACTAAAGTCCAGGCAGACAACATCCACAGCCTTTCCCTCAGCCACTAAGCAGGTCACCTTGTCATAGAAGGAGATCAGGTTGGTCAAGCAGGACCTTTTATATTTTTCCACACATGTACACACACAGAGTGTACAGCTTATTTCCAATTTTGATAGTCATCTGTAACTGAATTATTTTAATCTCATTTTTAGTTTTTACTCGTTTTTATATAGACAAGCCACTCAAGATGTAATAATTCATTGTTATATGGTTTTCAACTCAATATTTCAATTAAACCTTTTTGCTAGAACAAGGGAGTTAGATCTCAAACTGCAAGATGTTTAATCACTTATTTCACTCATTTGCTTTTTAAGACCCAGCACCTTGTTTCTGTTTTGTCTGTTCCTCTTCCCTTTATTTTGGGGGAAAGAAACCTTCTGCACAGTAAATTAGATATATCTCAAAATGTATTGAATACTTCTTTTTTTTCAAATTCAACATATTGTATTGCTAAATCTGTTTAAAATAATTTTGAATATTTATATTTTATTGAAATAACCTACAGGCCACTCTTCCCTTTAAAGCAGGGAGGAGGCCAATGAGTTTATAAACCATGGCTCTGCCTCCTTAGCACGATGCATTGCTGGTGCTTGCACACCTGGCGGCATATGGGGCTCCCATAGGAGAAACAGGTGATGCTGGGTTTTTCTTCAAGAAAGGAGCTCCTTGTTACCAAAACCCATTATTTTCCAGCTGTAATTCAGGTGATGCATCCCATTATTGAGACAAAGTTGTTCTGCATTTCTTTAATGTTGAAACTTCCCCACTGCAGTGGCCAGCACTACAAGGAACGGGGATTTGCCTGGAAGGGGACAATGTGCCAGATGAACTCCATGGGTGTCGTCTCGGTAAGGGGAGACCTCATGGGTTTGCACTGCCTGAAAGGAAAAATAAACCTTTCATATTCCCTGTGAACTCTGGGAGTTAATTCTACATAACTCCCGGGCTCAGGCTTTTACTGATTAGCAGGTAATGTCTAAACTGGGCATCTAAAGGAGGTGATGTTGGTCTTGTTTTCGCTGTTTCTTATAGCAGATGAGATGGTGAAAGAACAATTCCCCAGTGCTTCCCCAGACCAACTCGTCAGGGATCCTTTCGTTTCCCTAATTTGTTGTTTGCCAGTGCAAGTCCCCAGCTAGCACAAATTTCACAATTACTGAGCAAAACATTGGAAGTCTAGATCCGAAGTTCTCCACACCAACATACACTGACTTGAGAAAACCTGGACCTGTGGTTTTTCTTCCCACCTGCAGTTCCCTGGCCACGACCCCGTCAGTGACGTGATGACACTCGCCCACGAGATAGGCCACAGCTTAGGCTTCAGCCATGACGATGCGAAACAATTTCACGACAAATTTTGCAACTGCAACTGCACCCACAGCGGATGCATCATGCAAACATCCCCAGGGTAA